CCTTCCAAACCCTAACGGTCTGGGATTCTGTAATGAGTTCATAAGGGGGGAAAACGTATTTAGGTGTGGAATCCAAATGTAAAGTATTTTTTCAGAAGGCAAACTAGCAATATCTAGAGAACTCTTCACCACTGTGTAACACCGCTGCATTTTTGAGGTGTTGAGCAGTGAGATTTGAAGGCATGTTTGTTAGAAATACTGATTCTGTGGAATAATTACTTTGGTAGTTTCAGTTACGAAAAAAGTTATTTGTTAAATTATTAATGCTTTTATCTACCCTTTTCTCTGTCCTAGGCTTAAAAGAAGCATGAGTGATTGGATTACAGATGACATTTTGGAGCACGAGTGATGTTAAAACGATTTGAATGTACTGGAGCATGGCTGCTTCTTAAAATGCAAAAGTTAAAGGAAAGTATTGCTCATCAAAAACTGCTGAATATCTGAACTTTGTAGACATCTCGCATTTAACCGTGTCCTTAAATGTCCACGATTAAGATCTCATGCAACCATTGTATATTTTGGAGACTATTCTCCAGAAGAGAACTGTGCATTTAAAAAGCAGAAATGACTGTGTTTTCTCGTGGAACTTACTGAGCCTGAGCACACCGAAAGATCATGACCAGCTTGAAGCGGTCCCAGACCGAAAGGGCTGTTGCCACTGGGGTGTCAGTCGGAACAGATGGCACCCCCAAAGTCCACTCGGATGACTTTTACATGAGGCGCTTTAGGTCACAGAACGGCAGCTTAGGATCTGTAGTCATGGCGCCAGTCGGGCCTCCTCGCAATGAAAGTTCCCATCACGTTACCTCTACTCCTGGAGTCCCCAAAATGGGGGTCAGGGCAAGGATTGCTGACTGGCCCCCAAGGAAGGAGAACATCAAGGAAGCGAGCAGATCGAGTCAAGACCTTGACACATCGAGTTGCCTTGACAGCATGTCGTCTAAAAGCAGTCCTGGGAGTCAGGGAAGCTCTGTTAACCTGAATGCTGGCGATTCCGTCATGTTAAAGAGCATCCAGAGCACACTGAAAACCAAGACTAGACAATCTGAGAACCTGGACTCCAGGTTTCTTACACCTGACGGCTATCCCAGCTCCCCAAGGAAAGCTCTTCGTAGGATAAGACAGCGCAGCAACAGCGACATTACCATAAGTGAGCTTGACGTGGATAGTTTTGATGAATGTATTTCACCCACTTTTAAATCCGGACCGTCTCTGCACAGGGAGTATGGCAGTACCTCTTCCATAGATAAGCAGGGGACTTCAGGTGAAAGTTTCTTTGATTTACTGAAGGGCTATAAAGATGAAAAGTCTGATCAGAGAAGCCCAGCCCCAACTAAGCTCAGTGAACTCCTGATCGCCAGTGGAAGCAAGGGTTCGGGATTCTCCCTGGATGTCATAGATGGACCTATTACTCAAAGGGAAAACCTGAGACTCTTTAAGGAAAGGGAGAAGCCACTCAAGAGACGCTCAAAATCAGAGACAGGAGATTCATCCATTTTCCGTAAGCTGCGCAATGCCAAAGGTGACGGGGAGCTTGGGAAGTCTTCAGATCTTGAAGATAACAGGTCAGAAGACAGTGTCAAGCCGTGGACTTGTCCAAAGTGTTTTGCTCACTATGATGTACAGAGTATTTTATTTGATTTAAACGAAGCGGCAATCAACAGGCACAACGTTATTAAAAGAAGGAACACAACCACAGGTGCATCTGCTGCTGCTGTAGCATCGCTTGTCTCTGGACCCTTGTCCCATTCTGCAAGTTTCAATTCTCCAATGGGCAGCACTGAAGACCTGAATTCGAAAGGGAGTCTCAATATGGACCAGGGAGATGATAAAAGCAATGAACTTGTGATGAGTTGTCCTTATTTTCGTAATGAGATTGGTGGGGAAGGGGAGAGGAAGATCAGCCTTTCCAAATCTAATTCGGGTTCCTTCAGTGGCTGTGAAAGTGCCTCGTTTGAGTCGACTCTGAGTTCTCATTGCACGAATGCTGGAGTAGCGGTTCTGGAAGTTCCCAAGGAGAACCTGATTTTACATCTGGACAGGGTGAAAAGATACATCGTTGAACACGTAGACCTTGGTGCATATTATTATCGGAAGTTCTTCTATCAGAAAGGTAGGTAGATTTTATTTCTTCTCGTGTTTTACTGATACCTTTTACCGACATACAAATTTCAGCTGATGTATAACAGTATTTGCAAGAATTACATGGGGTTTTTTTAATCATCAGAGCTTCGACGTGGTTTATTTTACCAATCGGTACATACTGTGTCTAACAGAGTCTCTCACAGTGTTGGAGTAAAAAAATGTTCATGATTTCAGTGCTCGTATACATAAGTTAGCAATGGCTACGTGTTGTAAGTGTCTTGAAACGCAGCTTTGGTATCTGTGGGAGTGGGCAGGGGTTGTCACTTGAAAGATTAAGAAAGAAAATAAAGTGCTAATGTAGGAGAACTTTCTTCCTCCCACGTCAGAGGATGTAACGCAATGCGTAGCTTGGAAAGTTAACATTTAGGGTGATCTTTGGACACTTTAATACCTTAATCATCCATTTCAAAACTTCATTTTTAAAAAATATGTTTTAAGTCATTAATATCATATAAATAAAGACAGAAGTGTCTCTTCCTCACTATATATTTGATAGCCATCATTCCAGAAAGGTAATTTGAATGTCAGATTCTGCAGAAATAAACTCTCACAGTATATAACATAACTCTATATACCACACACAGAGACATCTATGTGGTGATGACAACAATGTGTCTGAAAAAGCAGAGCCCGATTTTCTTGTCCCGTGGTTCTGCTGAAACCAAGGGTTATAATTTCCATTGGAGGTATGCAGGGAAAAAATATAATTAAAAAAATCAAAGCTTTCTGACCTATAGAAACAAGCAAAACCCAAACATTACCCAGATGCCCCCTTCACCAAAGTGATGCTGCACTGTGAGGTGCAGATCTCGCTTTCTTCCTGGTTCTGAGAGTGATAAAAGGGAGTGCAGAGCAAAGTCCTTTACGAGAGCTCTGCCTGCAGGGGTGTGTGCCTTGCGGTGGTACCTCTTGACGGGTGGAATTGGTCCAAGGGCTGACCTGAAGGGTGGTTGTTCCTTAGGTACCAGTGATGAGGATTGGGTTTCATCTCCTTAGCTCAGGTGAGCTTGTTTCCTGCAGATTAAAGCAACAGGGATGCCTGGTTAGAATAAGAGGATGGTCAGTTACAAAACCCTTCAGCTTGTTAACTGTGTGTTACAGCTAATAATCTCCTTCCCCAATTTTCCCTTCCCTCAAGTCATGTCCATCTGTCACCTGCGTTGTCCCTTGGTTGGGTGGCTCCTGTCACCTTTTCCATCATCTCCTCTTTCTGCAGTCGTTCGAGGGCTGAGGGGTAGCCTTTGCTGCATGGTTTTTGAGAGTGCTGATCTGTGTCCTTTGGAGAGGCAGGAGTGAGGGAAAATAGTGGTTTCCTGAGAGCAGTGAGCCAGATGCGCACTACATGAAGTAAGTTTGGAGAGGAGAGCTGAGATTAGAGACCTTGCCATTCCCTTCCTACCTATCTTTCTCCAGAACAGTTTGATTCCTTATCACCCTGGCGCGTTTTGCAATCAGCAGCTAAAGGTGCAGTTTCGTGTTCCAGCTGACCTTATTTAACAGCATCTCATCACTAAAAGGGGAAGACTTCACTCCTCCCCCTTCCCTGTCCTTTTGTTTTCTGAAAGCTTGGTAAACCACTTCAGTTTATGAACCAAGGAGAGATCTTCACAATCCATCACAATGCAATTGCTTTTTACTGCTTGGTGATTTCTCCCCGGTTCTAGCGAGTCAAGTCAACTTTCCTTGCAGTCAGAGGAGCGCCAAGGCCCAGTGCCAGGTGAGCACTGAGAGCGAACAGCAGAAGAGGTTTGAGTGGGATTTCAGCCCTCAGGCAACACCAACTGATCCGTTTGGCTTATCCTTAAGGGAAACCACACTGTCATGCTACTCCAGTGCCAGTCACCATTTAATCTCCATTTCTTTTTAGAAGGAATTAAGAGGAATTTGATAATTTGACATAACCTAGTCCGAGGATGTTGATGAAGGGTAAACAGATGTAAAAGTGTCAGTATGTGTATGGAGTAGTGTTGCAGGGAGAGAAGCTGTGATTTTGTTCTTAAGCTCTAAAACTGGATTTTAAATTCCCTGTCCTCGTGTTCATTCCAGCAGGCAGCAGCCAGGGGCTTTGTTCCTACCAGAGGTTTTTTGGCTGAGAAGAGGTGTACTTCAGAAGCCTCATCGGCTTTGCCCTGGTGAGACCGCATCTGGAATATTGCGTCCAGTTCTGGGCCCTCAGTTCAAGAAGGACAGGAACTGCTGGAGAGAGTCCAGCGTAGGGCTACAAAGATGATGGAGGGAGTGGAGCATCTCCCTTCTGAGGAGCGGCTGAGGGAGCTGGGGCTCTTTAGTTTGCAGAAGAGGAGACTGAGGGGAGACCTCATTCATGGTTATAAATATTTAAAGGGTGAGTGTCACGAGGATGGAGCCAGGCTCTTCTCGGTGACAAACAATGATAGGACAAGGGGTAACAGACACAAACTGGAACACAGGAGGTTCCACTTCAATTGGAGAAGAAACTTCTTCTCAGTGAGGGTGACAGAGCCCTGGCCCAGGCTGCCCAGAGAGGTTGTGGAGTCTCCTTCTCTGCAGACATTCAAAACCCGCCTGGACGCCTTCCTGTGTAACCTCATCTGGGTGTTCCTGCTCCGGCAGGGGGATTGGACTGGATGAGCTTTGGAGGTCCCTTCCAATCCCTGACGGTCTGGGATTCTGTGACATCACACAGTTCTGTCGGTACCAAGCACATTTCGTTGATCACTCAGTGTATCGTCTTTCCCCAAGCAAACCTTAGACTAATCTGAAAGAGACGGGATAGTGTTAAAACTTAAAGCAGCATATAAGGAAAAAAAACCAAGGAACTCGGTTGTAACTGAAATTTTTTATAACATGAAGCAAGTAATGATGCAGAAACTTCCTTGTTTGAAGAGGAGGTTGGATCTTTATGAGATTGAGTGGAACAGACAGTGAGGAGAGCCAGTTTCAAGTCAGCACGCCTTAGGTAATTTTGTCATCTTAAAAACATGAAGCAAAGAATTCTGATTGAGCAACAGTAACCTGTAAAAGATCTCAAACCAGGAGAACGTCGCAGAATTGGAGAACTACTGAAGTAATGCTAGAGCTTGGAAAGAATAAAAAGTGATGATTTGTAACCCTTCAGTTTGTTTTTATTCCAACTTGAAATAACAGCGGGTAATCTGGGACTGGATCAATGAGGAACTGCCAGTTGAAAGTCATCAATGATGCCAGGCAGCCTGATTTAATGAAAAGTAGGTCTTGTCACAAAAAAAAACCAACACTACCCCACACTGTTAATTTTTGTGTCTTAGAAAAGAAGAAAAAGGATGAAAGTGATAGCATCATTATAGTCTATTTTAATTTCTCCAAGGTAATTGGGGAGATGCTGACGGTGGCTTGGCTGAAATCTTTAATTATGTGGAAGTAATAGCTCATTCTTTACGGGCATTGTTACTTGGATGATAGATGGAGCTCAGATTTTAGCAGTGTACAGGGGAGGTATCAGTGAGATGGAATATTACTAACATGCTCCAAATTAATTAAAATATCTTAATCTAGTTAGTGTGAAATGTTTGACATTTATGGATGAGTCTTCTATAACTTCATCAATGAACGCAAATGGGATGAGCATTTGTATGTAAAGGAAAACCTAAGGTGGAATCAACCTATTATTTGAGCCTTTTCAGAACAGCTTGGATGATAGATGGAGCTCAGATTTTAGCAGTGTACAGGGGAGGTATCAGTGAGATGGAATATTACTAACATGCTCCAAATTAATTAAAATATCTTAATCTAGTTAGTGTGAAATGTTTGACATTTATGGATGAGTCTTCTATAACTTCATCAATGAACGCAAATGGATGAGCATTTGTATGTAAAGGAAAAACTAAGGTGAAATCAACCTATTATTTGAGCCTTTCCAGAACAGCGGTACAACTATTGGTAAGTAATACCCTGACCTGGTGTCCAGACTTCTCAGTGTGAAAATACCGGTGGAGACAGGTTAGCGGAGGCCAGACAGGTGGTGTACGTCTTGGGAAGAGCACTTCAGAGCAGTAGTTCCCAGGGTTGGATTCAGCTCCTCTGCTTTCCACCTGAGCTGATTCTGCAGGCTCCCTTTGCACTCGGTGGTGAGGAGCGGACCTTGCAGGGTGATGCGCGTTGCAGTCTTACTTCCCCCAGTTCACTGCAGAAGGCTCCTGCACAGCTCGCATGGAGATGTTTAAACTTACAGGAGCTACCTGCTGCTCTTACATTGCAAAAGATGTGTTTGCAAAGGTGTATTTCAAAAGGCAAGGCTTCAAGAAGCTACTTCCTGGACTATTTTTTCTTGTACGGCATTCTAACACTTTCATTTGTTCTACAGTTGTGATGAGCGTGACTATTTTCTAAGAAAATAGCTGGGGAACTCCTGATAAGAAGTGTATTTTTTGACAGCGAGGAGGAACAGGTTGTTGAGGCCTTCTTAGTGAAATATAAGAAAATAGGTCTTTTTGTGTGAGAAAGTGGGATTCTTACCTAAATACGTAACTTTCTCCTCATCACAGTTTGTTTCATCCTGTTGACAGGAATGCTTCAGTGAGAGAGAGACAGAAGCAAAACCTTTGAACTTACTGCTTCTGGAGCTAAAATTACAGTTCCCAGAGAAGGGAAGAGTCATCTTAGGTCAACCCAAAACCGCTTCTGGTGCGATCTTCTGGCAAAGGCCAGCAGCAGGTACTGAGGGATGAGCAAGGGTAGGGCAGAGGCACAGCGGTACCTCCCACGTGTACTCACCCTGCCTCAGGAGTTGCATAGCTGAGGGACTCGCTGTCCTGGTGACAGTATAATTTGTACTTGGTAGTCTCTGGACTTACCTTTCTAGGCATTTATCCAGTTGTCTGTTACCCTGAATAAGCTTTTAGCGTTCGCAGTACTCCTGCTGCGGCAAAGAGCTGGCTGGGTCATAAACAGCCAGTTTTACTGGCTTTGTGTGCTGGTTTCCAGAATGAAAACCAGGGCCCTCCGATTGAACAGACTCGCTGCTAGGCAGAAATGTGTGGGTTTTTCACCTTTCCTTGCTATGTGTTATTTTATAAACCTCAACCCTCTTATTCCCCTCAGTCATGTCTTGTTGCCCTTCTCTGAATCTTTTCCAGTTGAGATCAGGGCACGGTAGAAGCAAGGACTGAGGAGATGGGTAGGAGAGGAAGAAAGACAACTGCCCAGTGTAGAGTGAAGAGAGGGAGGGAGGGACAAAAGACATTTCCTACTGGGAGGAAAGCGTAAAATTCCATACTCCTTTGTGTGCTTTTTTCCTTAACTTTTCCAGGCAAGTAGGACCTACATAAAAAGCTTAATCCGAGGATATAAAGTTGTGTGTCTGTTCTTGTGCAGCTTCAAGCATTCCTCGCAGCAGCCTTCCAAAATGGATTTTTCTCTTCAAGATGCAAAATAATTCCTCCTGAGAAAACTCTCTGTGCATTGCAGGTCGGACTGCTTACAGGATGTGCAGATGTTATCATCTGTGCTGCTGTTGGTACAGAATATCTAGCATAACTTCTGGACCCTCCTGGCACACATTAACGACATACCTTTTGTCTGTAACTCTTTCTGTTGTGTCTAAGCAAAGGTACCTCGGTGTTTCTAAGTCATCAGCAGTTTAGGGTGGAGATGTCCAAGCTGTCTCACATTTTGGAAGCCGCAGAATATGCTGATATTAATTAATTTCACGTTCTCAGCGGCTGTGCTTCCGTTGCATTGACCATCTCTGCTGTAAACTGTTTGCTAAGCTATAAACATCCTGAGAAAAAGCAAATTACTTAACGGATGAAGAAGAGAAACTGGGGTGCTCGTAAGGTATTTGGGATTTTTAAACAACAGATGATCTTTGTGGCATTTACAGGACTCGTAGCAGTGGTGTAATACAAAGATTGAATTGGGCTTATGTGGATGGTCTAATTTATTCCTAACTTCCCCACTCAGGACTAATTCAGTCACCCAAAACTTAAGTCAACATTTACAGGATATTCCACGAGATATTAGAAGAATTTTGAATCTTAAATACGTCTGTGCAGAGTGTTGGCTTTTGATGACTTGCAGAGGAGTCTGGTGGAAAGCAGGATTTATAATGCTGTGTGCGAGCTCCTTTTATGGCTTGGGTGCTCTGAAACCTTAGGTGGAAAACACTGAGAAAAGGGTAATAAAATAGCAGATACTGAGGAACAGAATGGCCTTAAAAGGTCTTTAAAGGGGTGGACAGCTGAGTGAAGACAGAAGTGTAATTCTAGGGCACACGGAGAGAGCACCTGCTTGAAAAGCATTTAGGGTGGTGGAGGAACATAGAGCAAGAGCCAGTAAGTATAGTTTTAAAAAGAGATAGAATAAAGAATGAGGCACTCAGATTTTTAACAGTAATATTAAAACGCTTTGCATTTTCTCTCTGTAGCACAATAGCTCATATTAGACTGCTCTCAAAGTTCTGGTTGTTTTAAGAATAACACATACCCTCTGTATAGTAATTTAGGCAGCATGGTTACGTTTCCTTGCAGGGCAGTTACATCTTTTTTTTCGTTCCACTGAATTTCACATTTCTTCCTCGAGTTGTTGCATTTCCACAGGGCTCTAACTTCCTATTTTTACGCACGTATAAATTCATTCACATACGCAGACGTGCAGCACATGGAGGGTGATGACTTAGGGCTCATTTTTCTTGTTCAGTGCTTGACTTCTGTGGTTTTGATAGTTTCTCTTAAGTTTTCTTGTCAGGTATTTTCTGTTGAAATTCAGTTGCTGTCACCTGAGCTACGTAAATGTTTGTATGTGGCTGCATTCGTGGTGATTAGACAGGTCAGGAGGTCGTAACGCTCGGGAGGCGCCTTCAACACAAATCTCTTGGGTTGTTGAGCTTTAATTTTTGTAAATGCAATTTTCTAATATTTTTTTCACGTAAAGCGTGACTTTTTATATGTGTATAGTTAAATGAATATAAAAATGTACCTCAACCCGCTGTTCAGCTAGCGAGCAATATTCCAGCTCTGTATTCTCCTCTGTAGACTCAACTCTTAACACTTTAAATTTACTCTTCGGGTTGTTCAGCATTTCACTGTTCAGTATTTCTGCTAGTCACTTTGTTTCTTAGGTGTTTTTCTCTATTTCTGTGATACCACGCTTTGATATTTTTACCATGGAAAAGTCTTTAACTTCTTTTTCAGCCTCATCAGGTTTTCCCCTTTTATAATCGAGTAACCTGTTTGACTGCTTGCTGCTTTTTCCCTCCAGAAATAAGTTACATCCTTTGCTCACCACAATTGTTTGCTGCTCCCGTTTTAACGCAGAGTAGTGAGTTTCATGCTCTGGTGCGTTTGGCTTCCTTGTTTTTGTTTTTAAAGGGAGGAAATGGGTTGTTTTTATTTAGTGCAATGTGAATGACGTGGATTCCAGCACAGAGGCGCGGTAAGAGATGTGTCTGTTTTAGGCCTGGTTAAGCAGAGATGCAGTGTTGAATTTCAGCCGTCTGGTGTAATCAGAGCTCATTGGAGAGCTGAAGCACGACAGTGAAATCCTGGTACCACCGAGGATGTGCTCTCATTGACTCTAGCAGGGCTGGAAATGCATTTCCAGTATAACAGCTAAGCACACAAATCCAGTTGAAGTGTAAGAAGTAAGATGGACTTTTATTTGAGCGTTCTAATTTTGTTTGTTTGTTTTGTATGCAAGAACACTGGAACTATTTTGGGGCAGATGAGAACCTGGGCCCAGTGGCTGTGAGTATAAGAAGAGAGAAGCCAGAGGAAATCAAAGAAAACGGACCTCAGTACAACTACCGGATCATATTCAGAACCAGTGAGGTGAGCGGATCAAGAATGACAGGAGCAGAAGCAGGCAGGCAGAATTGGGTGGTTCGTGGGGTGTTTGTGTGCTTTTTGGCATCGATGATAGATTTCTGTCTGCTCTTCACACGTACGATCCAGGGATCTCCTCACAAAGCTACGCCGCATGCTTTTATTACACAGAGTATGAGTGAGTGGATCAGTGAGTGAATTACTCCATAACTTCCAACACGGAGCAAGCTGTGAAGGTTGTTTAGGTTCAAGCTTGAGAAACTTACGGGAGCTGTATTAGCTGGAAGCAAGCAAAGAGGAGGAAAAGTCCTTCCTCTGACAGTGGGTAGACCTGAGAAATACGCTTTTGTACTTCGAAATGCTCTGCTAGAAGTACTACTACGAATCTTTTCCAAATATTAGTTTCCTGTACAACTTTAATCTGCTGAATCATTTGAAATATCTGACTACTGTCAGTGACATTTTACATATCGGTGTCTGTTTCACACAACGTAAGTTACTTAATGTCCTCAGTCTCTATTGAGAATTGGAAAAACGGGATGTTTTGCTCCACTGCTGCTGCTAATCAGCCTTTTCTCAGTGCATAATTCAGTACGTAAGCTATTTTTGTTTTGTGTGCTTAGCTTATGACATTAAGGGGCTCTGTGCTGGAAGATGCTATCCCTTCAACCGCAAAGCACTGCACAGCCAGGGGACTGCCCCTGAAAGAAGTGCTGGAGTACGTGGTTCCTGAGCTGAATATCCATTGCCTGAGGCTGGCCTTCAACACTCCCAAAGTCACAGAGCAGCTGATGAAGCTGGACGAGCAAGGGGTGAGTGCAGTTACAGAACGAGACAAATGGTCTGAACTGTCAGGTGACTGCCATGAACTGCAAAACCACCTTTTAGCTTTCAGTGGTTAGAGTCGGTCTGTTAAAATGCCTTGTTTGAACTAGAGCTTGTTGTCTGTGGGTTTTCCCTCCAAGTTTTGCAGAATATTTGGTATGTATGAAATGAAGTTCATCGCTCTAAGTAGTCTGCATTTTTAGATTAATGTTATGGCATATGTCCATTTTAATTTACTTTAAAAGAGTCTAAGTGATTGTTATTCAGAGACTGTGAGGAGGAGGGAGTTCTGTTTTGGATTTCTATTGCTATTACTTTGAGAACAGAAATCTCCACGTTACTAAATGTTTTGTTGGACTATTGTATTGGCACAACCATTGCCAGGGTGCTGCCTCATCTGTTTTTTAATCTTCTTTTTATTTCCTTGCCCTGCAACATGGCAAAGTATTCTAAGCCTCTTCTTCATGTAAGTGATTTTCAATTGAGTGATGGTCCCCTGCTCTCTTAAACGTGGAACCGAGGCTTATTAGCTCTATAGCTTAGACTTAGCAAAATGAAAGTCCTGGAGTGAAGTGAATTGTGTGATTAGGAAGTTCAGCAGTGACACTTTACAGCTCCGACTACTGAGACTGTTTCTTTCTCCTGGTCTTTTTTGCTTCTCATGATCAACCTTTCCTGCACAGAATTAGCATCTATGTTATTTCTTCTTGCTGTCAGTCTAACACTGCCATCATAACATTGAAAAAGATCTAATTATTATCTGCCACACAATCTAGCTGTATTCTAAACAGGTTTCTAAGCGACTTGTCATGAAGATTTTGTCAGCTACCTTGTTTGGTCCATTTAATAAAATGGACGAGATAGAGAATCCCTAAATAAACACCTACCAGAAGAAAACCTGAACAGAACACTGTGCTCGAGTTAGTTTCAAACCTCATCTGATTCACTAAGGACACGATACAAGAGGGTGCAGAATTGGGTGGCTGTGGCTATCGCACAGCATTGAGCCTCACACGGGAGTGGCAGCCCAGTATTGTCACTGGCCCCAACCAGCCCTGGGTGCCTGGCTCAGAGTGCACGAACAGGACAAGCAGGGAGCAACACTTTCCTAGCTCCTGATAGCCTGTGGGCTTTTATAGGTCTCTCTGTCCTGCCCCTCTGCTTTACCAGTTTGAGTCCTGGTTTAGTCACTTCTCATGTAGAAGCTGTTCTGTTCTTCTGGTCATGCTTTTACCTCTCTGTGGAGTTTTTCCTGTTCCCCTCTACCTCTCCCGTGTCTGTTTTAAAACAGTGCTGTTTTGAAAATGAGGACAAATTTTGGCTTAGTTTGCTTTCTCATCTCTTCCTTCTCTAGTAAAACAAATAAAGTATCAGTAATTGTGGCTACTCCTGAGCACTGAAAGTGTCTCTTCATGAACACCGAAGATCCTGTTATACTTATATGGGGTATAAGTCAGAAGTCATTGCTGTGGATAGAAACTTGGGTGTCCCTGTACCACATGGATCACTTCAAGCTTCACTTGCTTTGAGGTTCACCTGCCATTCTTTTGCCCAGAAAATGGGATTTATTTCAACGTGACTCTGGAAGTGAGCCGCTGGATTCAAGGATTCGGTACCTCCCAAATACCCCTGTCGAGAACCTGCCATCTCAGTAGTGGTGTTGGGAAGATTTTATCAAAGAACAAAAAATCAGGACATTCTATTTAAAAAAAAATTAAATTCCAAAATTATTTTTAGTAAATACCTGATTTGAAATGTAATTTAGCTTAATTTGCTTCAGAAATCGGTTATGTATCTATTCCATATCCAGTATGTCATTAAGCTCCCACAGTATGATGCACGGAATGTTTATCTGGTTTTACTTAAACTTTTGAAAATCATTAAGGACGAGAGAGAGTTAAAATTGTATTGTCTGCATCAAAGTGTTTCCTATTTCTGTGGTAATGAAACAGTTTGACGCTTCTAACAGAAGAAGATAAGCACACTCCGTACTAATTAGAAGCTGCATTTTTTATCAATTCCAGGCTAACAGAAAAATTTGGGTAACAGCTGCTCTGCTAATTAGGTACACAGAATGTTGATCAGTGCTTCTTGCTGAGTGTCACACTGTTTTGTTACAGCACAAACAGGTGCCATTTTGATGTCGCAGAGACGTTTTATAAATTCAAGAGCTGAAACTATAAAGTGACCTTAGCCTGACTTTGCCGTTAAATTTCACCCAGTGACCCCTTCCTTGAGCTAAATTTGCATGCACCCGTTTTGATTAAGACAGGCTCTCTTGTTTATCTGAGCGAGGTTTTGAAGCAGGCAGTTGTTTTGCTATTTAAGAATTTGCAGTTCTTTATTTGAATTTATCTGCTTTCAGCTTCCAGACTCATCTTCTTTCTCTGCTACATCTTCAGAGTCAATTTGGTGTGAGATTTTTTTTTTCCCC